GAAGGTAAATGTTTTTCTGGACTAAATATTGAAACTAAAGGTTTGTGATCCGTAATAAGTATAAATTTCCTCCCGTAAAGGTACTGAAAAAATTTTGTGACACCCTAGTAAATAGCAGTCGCTTCTTTATCAATCTGACTGTAATTTTTTTCAGATTTATTAAGTCTCCTTGAAGCGAATGCAATGGGTTTTTCAGATCCATCTGGAAAATTATGGGACAGCACTGCTCCTAGAGCATATGGACTAGCATCTGTAGCTAACGAAAGTGGAAGATCTGGATTGTAAATGCATAAGACTTGAGGAGAAACGATTTCTAATTTTATCCAGTTATAAACTTCTTCACATTCTTCTGTCCATTGGTATGGTACGTCTTTCTGTAATAAATTATAGAGTGGATGTAATTTTCTAGCAATGTCTTTTAGAAACTTCCCATAATAATTTACCATTCCTAACCAACTTCTAAGTTCAGTTAAATTGGTAGGTCTTCTAGCATTCTTGACAGCTTCTATTTTCTCATCGGATTTTTCCAAACCATTTTCGGATACAATATGCCCTAGATATTTAACTGATTTTTCAAAAAATCTACATTTTTCCATCTTAACTCTCAAACCTGCTTCCTGTAATCGTCTTAAAACCATTTCAACTCTATTGATATTTTCTGTTAAATTTGATCCTTGAATTTTGATATCGTCCAAAAATACACATACTCCTGGAATATCTTCCAACGTTCGGGAAATGAACCGTTGCCATATAGCTGGGGCAACTTTGGTACCAAACATTAACCTATTTACTTTGTAGTCTCCTCTCGGTGTTGTAATAGCTTGAATCTCTGCACTTTTCGCATTCATTGACATATGTAAGTAAGCTTCTCGAATATCTAATGTTGTGAATACTTTACCACCCAACATCGTCTTTGCAAAAATATCTTCTACGTTAGGCATTGGGTATTTGTCATCTTTAAGTACTTTATTAATGGTTATTTTGTAATCCGCACACAATCTTATTGATCCATCTTTTTTTATTATTGGAACAATTGGAGTTCCCCATTCGCTATATTCTAGCTTAGTAATAATTCCAGCGGCTTCCAGTCTCCTAATTTCTTCGATGACCTTTTCTTCTATGGCATAGGGTATTTTTCTTGCAGGTACGTAAATTGGCATTGCATTATCTTTGAGGTATAAATTTGCTTCATTTTTTTTAATGTTTCCTATTTCAGGTTTAAATACTTCTTCAAATTTAAGCTTCAAATTATCAATTATCTCGTTCTTTTGACTTCCATATATTTTATTTTGATTTATTTGTAAAAACACCGTCGTCGCTGGATCTCATCCACTCTCTCCCGAAAATTGAATCCACCTTGTTAGGGATAATGTAAAGGTTACCAACAAAGGAATAATTATCCATTTCTACTTTCATAGTTGCAAATCCAATAGGTTTTATAATTTCGCCAGTGTAAGTTTTTAATGGCAAATTAGTTTGAAAATTTTTTATAAATGGAAACAGTTTTTTGAAATTTTCATGTGACATTGATGAAACTGCAGCCCCAGTATCATATTCCATATTAACTGGTATTGAATTTAAATAAACATTTATTAAATATTTTTTTGGTTTTCTTGTATTTTCAGGTAAAAATAACTCTTTAATTGTATTTATGAAATACATGTCTGTTCCATCTGTTCCTGAGTTATATTCATGTATTTTCGTATCGAGTCCTTCTGTGAAATTAATCTGGTTTTGTTCTGTATGCAATCTAGTGATATTAGATGAGGAACTTTTCATGCAGACTCTTGCAAGGTGTTCAAATCTATGACATTCTGTACATTTTAAATTTTTATGTAGACAAGTATTAGCTAAATGTGCGAAATCTCCACATTTGAAACACCTTTTTTTATTATTTTTGAAATTAATTCTGTTTGTTTGATAATTCGAATTCTTTCGTATATCTTTTTGTGCTTTAATTTGATTTTGATCCGAAGAACAAGAAAGAGAGTCTTTAAATGTACTGGAACTTTGAATTTCTTTGGTTTCTTTGTAAGCAGACTCCATCGCTAATGTTACTTTAACACATTCGGCAAAAGTATTGTCAGGAGCCTTTAACTGTATAAGTTTTTCAATGTAGTTTGGATTTTTGAGTCCACTAATGAATTGTTGTCTCAGGTGAACATCCACGGTTGACGTGTTACAACTATGACATTTGAAATCGCAATTTTTGCTTAGTTTTTTAAGATCTGTAATATATTCTGTGATACTTTCTTCATCTCTTTGAAAACGTTTAGAGAAACGATTTTGTTCAGCAATGACGCTTGACATTGGTTGTAAATGGTCAGATAATAATTTAACTAGATCAGTATAGGGCTTTGTTTTCGGATCATCTGGGCTGCAAAGATCGTACAGTAATTGAAGTGTTTTTGTGCCCATAGTATGAATAAGCCATTCTGTTTTTTTATTATTTATTTCATTAGGCGTACCTGCAAACTTCTTCATACCAAAAAAATTTTCCAATCGTTTGATAAAGATTTCCCAAGTTTCGTTTTCCTCATTGAAAGATTCCAATGATATGTTTTCTCCTCGTATAGAATTATCATTTTTTTGGGGTTGTAATAATTTCGCAAGGGTTTCCATCAAAGTATCAAATTGTGTATTATCCATCTGCTCTGTGGTTCGGTCAATTACCTCGTCGCCAAATGTTATATTTGGAAGTACTTTAGTGTGAATACTATTTATTAAATGTTACTATAATGACAAAATATATTGACAATGCTTTTTAACTGGTAATCTAACAATGTGAGCACCAACTTGTATATCGGTCCATACGGTCCATATACACAACAAGTGTCACAAAGAGTTTCTTTTCGAAACTACTTTTAGTGTCGAAAAGACTTCGATATGACACCAAAATAGAATAAATCTATTATCGTAGCTAAAAATATACAGGGTGTTCTATTTAAAAAAAAAAATGCAAGTGCTGTCATTATGACAGTTGGCACCTGTTATTTGCCTATTTTGACATATACGAAAAATAATAGAGATAAAACCCTACAAGTTTTTATATAAGCAATCATTTTGCTTTTTGATAGGTATTCAGTTATTTTGATAGTAACTTTACTCAATTAAGTTGGCAGACGGGAGAAAATTGCAATTTAATAACCATATGTACAATTTATGTAACTTATTGCGGTTTTTGCCATATTGAAAGTATGCATATTCTCATAACTACATTTCACTTGACCAAATGGCAGACGGGTTAAAAACGTTCATCATATAAACAATTTTTGTTACAATTTTGTTCATTGTTTATTAGGACTTGTACCAGTCTGCAATTTCTGCCATTCAAAACCTAAGCTTTTGGTGGCAACTTATTTAATATAAATTAATGGCAGACGGGAAATAATTGATCTCAAATTTGAAAATTTTTGACATTTTGAAAAATTAAAAATAAATATCTGTACCACTTCAAATTTTCTGCCGATGCAAAGGTACATTATTTATCTAAAATCCATTGTAACAAAACATGTTTTAGGCAGGAGAAAATTGTTTCAACATCTCAGCATTTTGATACAACTTCAAAAATTGTTAAATATTATTATAACAACCGAGATTTTCTGCCATTTCCTGACTGATCTCTAAATCGTAGATGCAACATAAATTTAATTTGGTAGACGGGAGGTCGCTGATCCACATGTCCGATTTTGGCCACATTTTGAAATGAGTAATATGACACTTTATACTAACCTAGGGTTTCCGCCGTTTAGCTTCCTTGTACTCATTTTTGTTTAAATTACCTTCACAATGTGTGGCAGACGGGATAATATTGATCCAAATCTCCACTTTTCATTACATATTCAATTTAGCATATCATTGTATTGTCACACGCGGGGCTCTTTGAAATATCAGCCATTCCACTTCTTATTGCATAAAAAATAACCACCTTTAATGGCAGACGGGAGAAAATCGTTTCAAAAAAATGGTCGTTATGCACCGGTCTATTAGGTCTTTCTGTAATGGAAACATTGATTCTGTCTTTTTCTAACACATTATCGTGAAACGTTTAATTTCTGTCAGAGTTTATGTTTTATTTATTAGTGGTTATGCTTTGAAGTTTTTTTCTCTGGTTTATTGAGAAATGTGTTTTCCAGGGACGGTTTTTCAATTGCGAGTAATTCTAGGGGGTTAATTAGCCCGGTGTTAATTTTAATCTCGGGTTAACTGAAGATTGTGTTTAACCGTTTTTCTAGATGTTTAGCCGATCGACTTGATGAAAAGTAGGTATCTGTGAATTCCTTAAAAAAAAAACAGTATTTTCTAACTAATGTTTATGTGTGTAGTGTGTATAGGTAATCCATAATTAGAATCATAAATTAACATAAGTTAATAAACGTTATATGTATTACATAAAAGGGCTTAAATCAAATAACTATTAAATTCCGAGATTACACGCTTGTTATGTCACTCCTATAGACATTTGAAATTCTTCATTAAAATACCCACTCAGGAAGAATTCGTCCTCTAAATTCGTTACGATGAGGCTGCGGTAATGGAATGCAATCTAATTTTTCTTTTCGGTGATTACAATAGAATTCCATTGCAATAATTTGTCGACGAGTCATATTATATACGTCATCATTCATACATATATTGAAGTATACAATCTGAACAACAGCCCATATGTATATACCATCATAGGTAATATTAATTTGATTAGGACTCGACCCACTGACCTTTTTAATAGGTAGGTAGTTTGTTTTAAAATTTGACTAATAATTGTGATTCATCAAAAAATAATTAAAAAACTACTAATTTTTATGAAATGTGTTCTTGATATTTGATTAAATTGATTTAGCCTTCAATTTTGAAGATGTCCATTATTATTTGCATAATATTTGAAGTTGAAATATGGTTATTGTAAAGTGTAACTTTTCTGTATAAATCGAAGTCAGGAGGGATTGAAAGATATTATTAGTTGCCTACAAATTTTGGGTGAAAGCAGTCAAGCTAAAATGTTTCGATTTACAGATTTTATTAAACTAAACTAAAAACAGAACAATCATCAGAATTATTGAGGAGTAGGAGCGACGGGCAAATGAGCGCCTTGAGGTTGGAAACCATTTTCGTCAGCTACATAAGTGACAGTGTAGAGAACGCCATCTGGTGCGGTGTATTGGAAAGAACCACGAACAGCTACAGCTTCGTTTTCAGCGCCGGCGTTGACTAGGTGACCTTCTGCTTGAGCTGCGATTCCGTTGCTGGTTTCGTATCTATATAGAAAAAACAGAACTTGTTTTAACTTAAATCGATGTCTCATAAAGATGGCGTTAACAGTATTGAAGTTATGTTGATGAGATGTAAGATAATATTTTATTACCCGTAGTTGTAGCCTTCGACTCCAATGTTGTCCAACTCGTTTTTCAAGACGGTAGCTTGGGCGTCTGAAGAAGCTGGTGGGGCAGCGATAGCTACAGCTACGAGAGCGCAAACTACGATGATCTGAAGTAGAAAGAAAATATGAAACTTTCCATTCAGAAAAAATTAATAAGCAAAACTATATTTGAAAAAAACTATAAAATAAATATTGTAAAAACAACAAAAACTAAGACACAAAAGATTTCATAAATCTTGAATTTTTTTTAAGCAAAATAAATGAAAATCTATCTACTTTTGATCTGATTTTTAACTACTTTTGCATTCAATAAACATTAGCAAAGGCAAATTAAACTTTAAAAAACATTGTAAAAACAATAAAAATTAGAACAAAAAAGATTTCACAAAAATCTCAAATATTGTTAACAAAAATAATCCCAATTTGGCACAAATCAGCAAAAAATTGTACTTACGATTTGCATGTTGATAGTTTTTGGTTGGATTGTCTATCAATAGATGAACTGAATGTGGTTTCATCATTGAAAAATCGTCCTTTTTATATTGAAATTGATAGCCGAAGATGTTCCCACTAAAATCAAATTTTTATGTAAATTGGAAATTTAAAATCGCACACACACAAAATTATTAACCTTTTAATAACGACTCGTTTTATGGTTTTTGATAATCAATTTTATTGGGTTCGATGGTGCTTTTCAAGGCTATAGGAGAAGATTATATAGGTATTTGAGGTAAAATAAATTTTGGGTATAGAAAAATATAGGGTAGTCAAACGAAAACGGAACAAGCTACGTGGACTTTCAGTTCAAAAAAAGGTAATAAGGGAAAAAAAATATTTTCCATTAAAAAATTTCAGGGATAGTAGAGTTGCAAAGTAGATGATAATGAGAAAAATGTTTCCTTTTTGAAAAACTAAATCGAAGGGTTAAAAAGTAATTTAAAAAAAAGCTGAATGTATGTACACGAAAAGTAGCTTTTTTGTTTGGCCACCCTGTAAAACTATGTCTATAGGTACTTATTTACCGATTTTCAATAAATTTCATCTTAGGTTTTCCATTATGTCCGTTTCAGTTTCTGAATTTTCTTTGCCTGGAGAATTTCAGAAGGAATTTAAGAAAAAATTGTTAGACAAATAGTAGACATCATTTTATTCTATTCTCGGCTCTTAATGTTTCTTTATTTAAAAAATTTAGAAGAAAATCAAGACGCGAATCAGAAAATAAATTAAAATTCAAAAGCGGAAAATAGGTATACAATTTCATAGAAATAGGTATAAAATTTCATATAGGTACCTACCTATGAGAAATAGAAGTAGGTATACAATTTCATAGAAATTGAGGATAAATTATTAGACAAATACTAAACATCATTTTTTTTCTATTCTCTGCTCTTGAATTTTCTTTACCTAAAGGTCAATATTTATCCAACAATGACAAATAAACAGTATTTTATATGTACCTATCTATCTCTTACTCGTTGAATTTCTCATATCGTTGTCTCTATCTTACTTTATTATTTTAGATTCTTTATTGGCCAAGCACAAAAAAACCTATACAAGCCACTCAGGCGCCAGAAATAATATCTTTTACTTATTGATTTTCCCATATTCCATATCGTTGTCTCTATCTTACTTTATTATTTCAGACTATTAAATTGATTGGCCAGGCACCAAAAGACTACAGAGGTCACTCAAGCGCCGGGAATAAGTATTGAAATTCGTATTACAAATTTGTATCCTATTTTATTGCCTTCTTTTTTCTACTTATTGAATTTCGTATGTGTTTCTCTCTTTCAATGACAGAAACCCGTACCCGTCATTTTTTTTTTAAAGAAAAATCGCCACTCCTAAATTGAAGAATTTCCGGCAGTTATAATTTTGATTTGATTGTTTTACAACTTCACGTCAGAAAAAGTCAAAAGTTTTGACATCTGACTAATTTGAAGTTTTTGACGTTTAATAAACTACTAATCAACACCTGTCAAATGTTATCTTCATTATACTTAGTAATAATTATGGATGTTTTAGTATGGTTTCAGTGTTCATTGGGATTTCAATAGTTTTTGTATTTTTTTTTTAATAATAATTACTTTACAGTTTTTAACAGTTGTCTAAGTGGAATTGGAAAATTTGTCATTATACATATACAGGGCTTCCCATCGGGAACCACATCGATCTATACCTATGTGAAAAACTGTATGCAGAATTTTTTTAAAAATTTGACAGTATACAAATGTCAATGGGGGCAATCCAGCTAAAATATTTTCAAGATAGTGGCACTTCTGGTTATAATGGAAGTAGACGTCAACTTGCTTATTTTAAATGAGACACCCTGGATATGATTGCATATTTGGATTCTACGTAAAATTTTAAGCAGATTTCATGTAATATACCTTATAAACTCAGTCTAACCAAAGTTGAACGTTGAAAGTCACTTACTCGAATATATCACAGACGTTGCTTTTTGCTGCTGTCTTTATTGCACGTGCACTGTGTTTATCATACCAAAATAAGCCCGAACGTGTGAATCCTATGGTTGCAAGGATGAAGTGACCTTCAACGTTCAACTTTGGTTAGACAGAGTTTACCTAAGTTCAACTGTTTTGAAAATATTGACAGTCGAAAATTGACTTTTCGAACATTGACAGGCTGTAAAACCTAAACGGTTAATTTTAGAGGAAAACCGATTTTACATTCCTAACTTAGGTTTTCAACTATCACTTTGAATTTAATCTATGTTTAAAAATTCCAATTAAATTGAATCTCCGGTTAAATTCAAAATCAAATGATAGTTTATGAAAATCTAAGATGGGAAGGTAAAATTGGTTTTCCCCAAAAATAAACCGTTCAGGTTTTACAGCCTGTCAAAATTGCAAAAAGTCAATTTTCGACTGTCAATATTTCCAAAACAGTTGAACTTAGGTATAGGGTGTATCACATGAAATCTGCTCAGAATTTTACGCAGAATCCAAATATGCAATCATATACAGGATGTCTCATTTAAAATAAGCAACTTGACGTCTACTTCCGGTATAACCGAAAATGCCACAATCTTGAAAATATTTTAGCCAGGTTGCCCTCATTGACATTAGTATACTGTCAAATTTTCAAATACTTGCTGCATATAGTTTTTCACATATAGATTGTTAGATTTCCCTTTTGATATGGGAGAACCTTGGTGTCGGTATTTTCACAGTGCCCTGTAGAGGTGACGACTGTGAAGGGTTTTCGTCTTTAGGTAGAGTGCAGCCTCACACTCTGGGTATAGGCTTAGGGTTTTGTGGTAAGTGAGTAATACACCAGTAAAGGTTTGATACTAATTTATTATTTGAAATGAGCCGATATTTATACACAAAAATTATTAATAAAATAAACGTAATTTGGAATGATGATGATTTTGCAGATTGCTGCAATTAGGTTGGTATTTTAAAACTTGCTAGTTAATTAATAACAATATTCGATTATTGTTTGTATTACATGGTTGCGTCAATGCAGGTCAATATAATCAAACTGGTCCACTTTATGGTTTTTTAACTAAATCCTATAAATTTCTCTTATGGCTAATTTTGAATACTTCTCAAGATTAGACATTCTGGCCGCCGCAATCTTGGTCAGCTGCTGGCATCGGTGTCAATTTCGTGGTTCCTGCTGTAGCTTCGAAGCGGTTCCAAGGGTATTCCGTTGATATTGTGGTCTTCTTGACGTCTTGGTTTCGTCTTATGTTTTCGATACCCGAGATATCCCACGAGTGCCAAGGTTATGATGGTGATAAGTGTACTTGATGTAACAGTGCCGAATACTGCTAGGTGGTGTATGGAAGCCCAATGCGTTTCTTGTAGTTGCTGTTGAATATCTGATTCTTCCTCTTCAATTCTATCCAAAGATGCTGAGGCTTCTAGAACTGGTTCTTCTAGAATTTCGTGTCCTAATTGGAAAACGGACGCATCTGTTGTGTTTGGGTTGATCGGTTATGTCATGGATGCCAGAACAGTCACTGATTCAGCTCTTTTTGGAGTTAAAATGTTTTTGTTGGTTTTTATGATGCAGTTCTGGGATATGACCACAATCCCTGTTTTGTTGAGTGTCACTTCTTCACGAATGCCATCGCAGATGATTGCTACTTTGACTTGGTCTGCGCTAATGAACATCCAAGCATTAGGTGTATTCAAACGTTTCCATATGATACTAGATATCAAGGTCTTTTTTCGTAGTGCGCACGAAGTGTTTTGCGATCGTTGATAGACTTCATCGATGATGCAGTTGGGAGTAGCTTCTATGGTTCGAGTCGTAGTCGGTGCACAGATGAATGCATCTTGACTGATGCTGATGCAATTTTTTAGTTCTGCTTCACTGAGCTGGAAGTATAACTGGGAATTGTAGTCTACTGCAATGAATTCGTTTGGCACATCGAGTATCCAGTAAGTTTCTTTTGTTATTTTGGTTGGGATTGGTGTTGCCTTGATAAGCACAAACTCGTTGTTCTCTGTAATGATGAAGTAGCCAAATATGTGAATGAAGTCCTTGCTGTGTTGAACTTTGGTCTGCAGGATTGGGTATGAGATTATTTTAATGTTCGTTGGAAGTTTTTTGTTGGCTGACGCTATGGTTTCTTCAACGTAAGCTGGAGATATGACTTCAAATAGATGTCCACGGTGATAATGGATGTCCAAAAGTTTTTGATGGTAATCAGTGACTTCATCTATGTAATTTGCCACTATTTGGTACGCACTCAATAAATGAATATTAAGTTTGTTTTCGTCAATTCGTCTGTACCAGTTCTGCATTTCATTGCTTGCTTCAAGGCCTTCATTGAGTTTCTTCCTGAATCTTTCTAGATGGTTGTTGATTCGTACCTCTGTCTGATTAAATGTAGCCAGAGCATGTAGCATAAACTTCGCTTCATGATTTGAGGTCTTGATGAGTTCCTTTTGATTTTTGTCTAATTCTTCAATGTCTGCGTACACTTCATCGTTGACTCCAAATACTGATGTGAGCAATTTTCCCATAAGTCCTCGCTTATTACGATTGGTCATCACGTTCTGCATCCCTCTATTCATCCAATCGACGTGTTGCTGTTTTTCTTGAAGGTGGTGAATTAGCGATGAACACTTGGATGCTAATTCTCTGGCTCTCTCACAAAGAGTCGAAACTTGCCGAATTGATGAATCTATGTTGATGGTGTCATTCCATAATCTAGACTTGTTGAATCGGGGTTCCATTCTAAAGGTTCCCCTATCTATCTTTGCGTGTCCAATGTGCTCTATATAGAGGCCTGGAGGAGGATACTGTATCTCGTATTTTTGGGCTGAAGTATTTCTCAAGGCAAACATAAATATCAGTAGCTCGCACCATTTTATCGTCCTGTGATGGGTGGATTTCCGTTATTCTACCGAGGGACCATTTGCTAGGGTTGATGTCTTGCTCTTTGATAATCATTAGATCTCCTACTCGTGGGTTCATTTGTTGATTTTGCCATTTGTAGCGCTGCTGTAGCTGATTTAAGTAGTCGGATGTCCATTTTTTCCAGAAATCTTTTTTAATCTTCTGTGCCAACCTCCATCTTTCGGTAAGGC